CTTTTGTTTCCATTTTTTTCACAAATGTCAATGCATTTAATTATATCACAATTAAATGGTGCAAAGAACTTAAAGTCTTTAAGATTATAAAAATAGCAAAGAGGAACCAAATTTTGAATTGTACTGTAGAGCGAAAAGAAATGCTTGATTCTGGTATACTGTAGTACTGTATATACATCAGAGGTAAACCAGCACCACTGTGCAATATATGTTAGTCATCAAATCACAACTTGATAAATCTCTGTCACAAAACAGCTTTGCAACAAGATAACGTTATGTACGATCAATAAGTCAATTCCTTGAACCACGTATCAAGGAACGATTTCTGCACTATCAGAAACACTTTTGCTCTACTAGCAGACTACACAAAGACTTAAACGCCTCGTATTTTACGCTAAACACTAAGTTGGAGAATTCTCTTTATTGCACGATATACTGCATTTATATACTATTCCTCAATAGTTCATGAGTCATAGTTTATACAATTAACCTCGGAATCATTTACTGAATTAGATATTAAGTTTAGCTACTGCTCCCTTAATGCAGACAACAGTAATTACGAATATAGACATGTAATGACTAATACAGAATAGTCAGATTACGATATGTCCTATCACGGAACATTTCCATGATAACTTACAATCTAGTACCATAAGTAAATTACAATCATAATGATTCGAACTGTAAGTAGATGATTTGCATTCCCTATTATAACTATTAATTTCAGTATGTATATAAGTGTCACTGTCATAAAAAGTCAGTGCTATATTAAAACACAGTATATCCAAATTAGAAGTTAACTAAATAAGGATAGTCTAACAGAATTATCCTAACATAGATATTTCTACTGTAATACAGTATTTAACACTGTAACATTCTCTTGTTTCTTTTTTGACTGGTTCTTGATCAAGATCAGGTCTTGAATATCCGGTTGCAATGACCGAGTAATAGTCTCCCGCTATTATTGTATAGTTGGCTATTAGATACGGCCTCAACTGGAGAATCTCAGTCTTATACTACAAACAGTACAAGTGTGCCGTCTCATCCTATTAGTCACCTACAATAGTACTACAACTAACTGAATTCATTACAGCGGTTTAGCCTGAAAAGCTCAGGTAAAATTTTAAGCGAACTTTTTATTACATGAGACAGATATCTTGGTGTCCAGATCGCCAAATCGCTTTTTTCTGTCTTTGTAGATGTTAAATAATTTCAATAACCTTTACACAACTTTTCATTTTTCGAATATCTCTTGCCTTTTTAGCTGAGCAGACTTGTATCATTTTTTCGAATAATACTCCTTTCTATTTACGGAATCATTTTCTCAGCATTTTTGCAGCCTTACAAAATAAAATTTCTTATTGTTGATCTTTTAGTCTGTCATAATTACAGATACGCATGTTTGCATAAACACTAATCGCCGTCAAATACCTTTGAAATTGTTATGCGGGTCTTTGATATTTAAATTAAAATTTTGGCTTTCCATTACGATATTTACCGAAGCATCGAAAGTTTTTTCTGATTGTTTTAATTTCGATATTACTGGAGCTTTCATCTGCTTTTCTTGCTGCCAATACAAAACGATCAGAAGCTGTTAACTGCTTCGCTTTCCTGCAAATATAATAGCGCACCCAACTTCTTTACCATGTGGTGTTTTAATAGAAATAACTTCATTTTCGCAGTTGGCTAATTATTGGTAGTATCATCCTCAGGAAGATTAATCAGTGTATGTAAAACTCCCATAAGCGAACTAGAATGAGAAAATATTTGAATAACATTCCCAGTTTTGATACATACGCATTTAATAGCGTCTTAAAGTTGAACCAGTGAGCGTAGGATTGCCTACATTAGCAGTGATAGATAATTTTGCTGCAAAGTAACTTTTACGATGTTATTACTCCCTCCAAGAAGGCTATTAAAAAGTGGGGATAATGCCAACATCAAAAAGCTCGCTTAATCATTCTGAGTACTGGGGTTTTTACAATCCCTTAGGTTCGCAATCGTCTAACTCAAAATCTGAGTTATTAAAATTGAGCAAATCTCTAATGTGACACAAGATCCGGCAAACACCATGTTTAACTTTAAAAGTATCCGTTTATTAATAGAACGTTTGACGAGAGAAGAATTTACCTTTCTTCTCTCACAACAACAGTCGAAAAAAACCCCGGATAATCGACTTCGTCTCCACGATAACAATTCCATATTATCTAACAGTTATATTAAGACATTGCACAAAAACATCACCTTATATAGGCGACTACTGCGGCCTTATACACTCATATCACGAATAGTACAAGTACACTGTTTCATCATCAGCAATCATGAAATTACTTTATAAAATAGTAGTATATTCTGCTTCTTAATGTTACTGTACTTCAATTACTGCTGTAATTAGCTGAAACAACTACACGCTCTAAAATTAAAATTACTAGATATTATCTCAGCTACGATTTTGTATACACGCAATATCTGCTAATGCGCAAAATTTTCTGTATTGCTTAAATTAATTATCAGATCTATCTTTCGTGCATCACATTAATAGCACTTGACGATAAGAATCTTAAAAAATTGGAATTCCTTGAGAGTGTGGTGAATAACATTATTAAATCCACATGTAATTCACGTATACTGATTACGGTGTAACTAGCTACGACATATCTCTATTTATTGATAACTAAGACCACCGATGTAGATTAATATGTACACGTACTTATACATAACGTATATGAAATGTATATTTAACATGCATCTATGAATTAGATAATACCTCTATATATAACTAGATCAATCGGTATTATCCATATATAATCAAAGAATCCGATGCTACTTAGCCTATGCAACCGATTCCTATTCCTATTCTAGTAAATGTTCAAGTAATCGATAACCTACAGTAAGTGCCTACCATACTCCGATTATAAAAGATTCGTCTGGCATAGAGTGTAGCCATTGAGCTTTTAAACGGTAATTATATCTATCTTATGTAGCAGATATTGCACCGAGGCCAATATTTCTCTCTTTTTAATATATTTTATCACTATACAGTAATAATTTACAGATAATTAAAATCCAGACAGCACATCTTACACCAAATAAGTATATTAGCTACCTGTACTGCTGGTAGTATTGATCATTTTTGCTTATCTATCATCGATATATGTTAAAGCTATCATTATTCTATAACTTTGGCTATCGGTTTGACTCTAATTGATATCTTTTGCCATACAATCATGCTACAACTTGAATGGGGTTTTAAAAGTACATATTATATTCATTAATTTTTTGCTTGTAATAACGAATGGAAATCTCTTAATGATATAATGTTAAACTAACGTCACTTCGGCTTACTTGTAGACTATTCAATTTATTTTTACGCTTAATTTTACTTTATTTTAATCATTTCATAAAGTATTGCTCCAAATTTTTCTAATTGTTCCAATTATTTCAAGTAAGGCATTAATAATTACTATAGATTGACTAAAACTATTTTAACTTTCTCTAAAATGGAATGTATGCCAAAATTAATTTTTACGAATTATAATTCATGTCTAATTTTTCTAAAATGGTAAACACCGAGTGCTCCTTCTATTTATGACGGTTGTTCAAAAATTAATTTACAGTTTTATGAAATGATCCTGGTAACGGTATCAAATCAGGATATTGATGTCATTTCCGCTGGTACCACGCTAATTTCCATGGTTGGTTTTAATATTTTATAGAATTTTTTGACGCAATCACCCTCAAATACCTCATTATTTGGTCTTACTGATAATACTAGGATATCAGTTCCACAGCGATATACTTTGACTTTTAATTCCGTAGCTAGCATACCAAATCTTATCGATTTAGTAGCTAAGCGATATAAAAGCTATTCCGCTAGAAATTGTCAAATCTAGAATTTGTCATTAGGACATTACCAGTTCGCTTTATTTCCATTAAATACAATCTATTGTCTATCCTGAAGTATCAGATATCTCTTCAGTTTTGAAGATTGCTACTGTATTCCTGTACAAATAAACTAATTAAGCCAACACATTTAATAGGAAGTAATTTCTTCTATATGAGCCTTATCGATCCATTTTCTCTCAAATTGGGTCACTGATGAGGCATTTCCTTAGTATGATTTAATTAAGTATTTGACAGAAAACAATTCTTAATGCTAAAAATAGTATCATCTATCATGGCCTTATTAACTAGTTGTTTAAGGGAGTATTTTTAATATTGATCACGGTAGTAAATTTCTATGATAAGCTATTGTATAATATTACTTTATAAATGAAGTCCTACCTATTTGGAAATACTATAGTTTCTTCAATTGGCAAGTTTATATTTGTCAATAATTTGAAGGGTGAGAAAAGATTATGTACCGCCATTTATTTCATCGATGTAAAAAGCAAGCTTCAATCAGGAATTTCAATAAATATTGTCAATTTAATCATGCTAATTCATAAGTTAAATCGTATATTTTTCTTTAATTTCATGCAGAAGTGTTATAGAGTAGCGTATTTATGGTTCCAGAAATAAAGGTTATACGATGTCTGCTATAGTTATACATTAAAGTTTTATTGAGACGAAAATTAAGCTTATGATACTGCATACACAATTTTGTTATCTACAATATCTTTATCATTTTGGTTTATCTAAAGGTTCTCATATCATTAAATAAGGATACGATAGAAAGAATCATGTACGTTAGCCAATAAGAAAATTGCTACTAGCTGTAGTCAGCCAAAAAGCATTACTGTATAAGTTTAAACTTGTATTATAGACCCTTTACAATCATGAGCTAAATAATACCACACATCTACGGCTATTTCAAGATCTAAATTAAGAATCGCGTGAAATCCTGTTGTTCCTTCTTTAGGACGAACATAGAAGGATTTAGATTGTCGTCGGTGAAATTCATATATTCTAAATCAGAAGTTACTTTAAGCAATATATGGAATGTGTTCCATTACACTTTAGTATATTAAAATGAAGAAATTCTTCTCGTGTTGATGTATTTAAGCAGTCCTAAATGTTGCAGTAGTATTTGGGGTTCGTGATAGGTAAGCTAGTGGTCTACCAAATTTATTAATAATTTCATGGCGAATATCCCGGCTAAAGTAGACATATATTAACGGATTTAGCGCTGGATACGAAAAGGCTAATTCGCGTAAGCCATATCTTGATGCCTTTAAACAATTTATTAGCAATTGAAGACTCTGTACTCTTATACTAAAAGGTAAAGATCCTAATATTAATGCTACCATAGAGCAAATAATTTGCGGCACTACTAAAGCAATGAAAGTACCGGTAATTATTATGAAAGGTACTGCCGCTTTAAATCGCCTTGCAATGAGCTGACTTTTTCGATTGTGAACTAGAAGAAATGAAGGGATTTGATGGTTATTGATCATTTTTAAATGACGTAGAGAAATGAAAAATATATAACCATAGCAAGATATCATGATCAGCAAAGGACCTAAGAAGCAAAATGAATAAAAAGCAAGTGTATAAGTTAATTCATCGGTAATTTCGCCACTGGTAGGACACGAATTTTTGGTGCTATTCTGGCCTTGAGTACGAAAAGTAAAAAGTGGATAAAATGATCCAACGAGTGCCGTAAGCCATATAATCGTAAGGCAAACGTAGGTATATTTGCGATTTACTACCTTACTATAACTAAATGGTAAAATAATCGTGATTGTTCTATCTACTGCTATCAGGGCTAAATGCAAGCAAATGCAAGACATTAGGAAATTGCGTAGAGGATTTTTGAGATAACATAAGAAATTGACTTGGTAAATAACTGTTATAGGATAAGGAAGGCAGAATAATAATGCAAAAAAGAGGCCACTGGTTGACATACTACACAATTTTACGTTATGAATTTTCCACAATTTTCTGTGTGTTAATATAAGATGGACCAAGGTTCCATTAGTAAGCAAGGCAGTAAAACCAACAATTTCGTAATACATAATTTGAGGCATTTCTCTTATGATGGAAGTAGATCGCGAAGGATCGTCTGTAACGGAGTCGTTTTGAACCGATTGATAAGTTGTGCAAGTTGTAAAACTTTCCATCATGAAACGTAAAGAAAGCGATGATAATGTTTGAAATGCAATGTAAATTAAAAAGAAGCAGAAAGGAACTGAATTGATGCTGTTAGAGAGGTAAATATCACTAATGGATAAAAGCTGTTCGATCTATTTAAACCTAAGATTACATTGAACTATTTTCTTCATTTAGCTATTGTGCCGTAGTTACCAATGCAATATATGCTATCTTTGGTTTAACTACTCATTGCTATGGATATTTATATTTTGGGTTTATTATAACTTCAACTTAATTATTTAAATTAAGATTTAATGAGGCTCATTTACATGAATAGTACGATATTCTTAACTGCCAGGCAAGATTTTGTAGACCCGGACAATAGTTGAAATAGAAATCTTTCTTATTAAGTACCGCCGTTACCAAATTATTCTGTTATCAATTTTGGTGTTGTTTGTAATCATTACAACTAACTCTTTAATTTTGGATTATAAATATTACTAATTGCTTACTATAATAATTTTTCAATAAAAATTGGAAGTTGATGATGGTGAATTTTTCTATTTAAATAAAAAATTGAATGCTATATTTTTAATAATTGTCAAGGAGACCATTGATAGTTTACTTTACGTTGCTATAATTAATATTAACTAATAAAGCCTTTCATAGATAATTCTTTATTAATAGAATAATCGTTCATCACTCTCACCTTTAACTGGATGTTTGGTAAGATCCATAGTTACATATTATAGCAGAGTTTAGCGTCTCAATAATATTTATATATCTATTTATGATAGCAGTGATTTTATACCTTACAGTTATAATAGCGAATTTCGATTTAAAGATACAGTAGAGTGATTGATACTATTCCATTTTTAGTTCTGATTTATAAAGCGTTGTTGCCGTGATTACGCAACTATTTCAATTATAATCATTAGAACTTATTTGATTCTGCGAGGATTAGACGAAATTTATTAAATGATGATATTACATTGTCAGCTTTTTTTATGCCACGTCACATTATTTACTTAATAATTTACTTTTATACAAAATTAAGGATTTTTAATATGGCAAAGGTGTAAAAAGATTGCATGGTATTAAATCTTTGACTTTTTCATATATGTATGCAGTGCTGTTCTTATATCATAACACATGCTGTATTGATCTTAAAATTATAATTCCATTTCTCTCCTCCGTCTCGATTTGTACGGTAACACTATACACTATAACCTAAATAACTCGCTATTGGATCGCTTAAATTTAATTTTCAAAAATTTTAATGTCCTAGAGGTCATAGTTCAATATCTTATTGCCCATGGCTAATGTTTATAAATAAGTTATGTGCTTAACATTGAGTAAAAAGATAATTATTAACAGCAAAATTGCATACTGTACGGTATTGTAAATATGGACCAATAAGATAATCTCTATCACAATTTCCACTTGCCATTCTGCAAGTACTTTGCTACATGCCGGTAAGATAGGTTGCAGTATCTTAGTGGCTTGTCGTAAAGAGTTGTTAAAGTTGAGATTCCCCAAAATTAATAGCTTTATGTTTGCTGTAAAGAATTTGTAGAAACAGATTAAAGTATCAGTAATCCCTACAAGAATACTGTTGACAAAGAAAGTTACGCGCTTTATCATCTAGAGAAGTAGGCTGTAAAAAAATCACGATTCTAGTGATCATTAAGTATAAACTAACAAATATTAGAGGTTAGGCAACAGTATATAGTTCATAATGCATTGCATTATTATATTTTTCCAATAAATGTTATTTACCACGCTAAATCAGGTCACGTATTTATTATTATTACGATGATGAAATATATTGATGGTCGCTGAACGTGAAGACATGAATTACTACAGAAGCGCCACGTAGAAAATTCAATAGGCTATAGCGGTACTGGATTCATGACGCTAACATTTGATAAATTTATTCTATGAGCAAATCGGTAGTATCAACAAAAATTATATTTATCATACGATTGGTTTATATTAGCAGTAGTCCTTAATATTAGCGTGTTTGGCTATTTGTAGTTGCTATTCTATTAAATAAATAAACTTTTAAAAGCGTGCTTTTTTACATATTGTTATGCTATGTAGCAAAATAATTATAGAATATATTACAACGTGATATATTTTGAATTCAAAGTCCATCATTAGGCTACATAATTATTGGTTATTCTAATTATTATAATCCTGCTATGAAGTATAAGGCTGCATAATATAATACCTATAAGATTTGGGGGTTGATAGTTAAGGGCAATGATCTGTAAGTTAAATGGGTAGGAATTAATTGAATCTTGCGAAATTTTATTTCAATAATCTTGATATCCCGAAATACTAGGGATAAGACGACGTGGAGACGTAACATGGATAAGAAAAAAGGTATTATATCTATAGTTTAAAATTGATTCTTCCAATGATAGAAATTTGATCATTAACCGTATCGGTTAACATCATACCAAATATAAGTAGCATTAAGTTATTTATCGACGTGATCGGATAGGATTAAGACTATAGAATAATGAGCAGTGACGGTAGTGATGCAATACTTACCCCCAGCAGCGTTCTAGATCGATCCCAATCTTCTCTCCATCAAAAACCTCCGACTTTTATACCTTTGGCGGCGCATTATACCGTAGAGTGTCTGTAAAATCTACAGTAATCCTTCCTAATACTTGGAAGTCCCAACCATAGAAATTCTTTCCTACGATCCTAAAATAGCTATTCTGTGTCATAGGTATTGCACTAATCTTATCACTTTCGAAATGTTATTACAAGCAGTGGTATAAGTCTGATTGTACATATTGGATATAATTGTCTATCCAAACAGTTATTATAAGTAAAGACGTTATTGCTCATGCTCCCTTAGTAAAGCGAAGGGTTGTATGACTAGTATAATTATAAAGTCTAATTTTCATACGAGTACGTCTACTAGAAATATGGCTTAATTTGATACTACCATATCAGGATACCTTATCCTTATGAATTAATAACTACTCAATTACTTTTTAAAACAATTACATTTTGAAGCTATTACATAACAGTGATATCATGCGGCGTGCAGAAGTTTAATATTAACTATAGATGGATATTTTACCCAAGTTTATGAATAGCTTAATGTATAGAAAGTGTGCTAATGTTGTCCCTCTTCTAGTTGAGCAGTTACATACTAAGGAAAGTAATAATTATAATCAATGCATCATCAAATTTAGGTTTTCAATACCTTGAAATCTATTGCACAGTATGTCATAAAATCATGACAGTATATTACTCAAAAGCTGTACTTTATACGCGTATAATTTTCACCTACGGTCTTTACGTAAATAGTCCATACAGCACAAGGGCACCGTTTCATCATGCTAGCTATAATCTGTAATTATCTTATTAAGATATTAACCGACTAATCAACGCCACCTTGTGTTTTAATTTATACATTACAACTGAAAAGGAAATAATCTCGTGATTATACTTTCTAACTATATAACTACGGTAATTAGCTGAAGTCTATTAAAATCATATAAACTTTATTGCAGTACTTGTATAGTCTCATATTAAAGAACCATTCATGAAAGTAAGTATATAATGTTATCATGAGTTGTGTCTGCCCATTAATATTATGATTCTTTGTAAGTAGGTACAACTGTCATAAAACTTTTGCTGAGTTTAATAGTAACTTCTAGAGCTTAACTAAAATAGTATAGCAATTATGATGTTATATTCTGCATCCAAGTTGTTACTGTCTGCCACCATCAGATTCAATACTTTATTCTGAATCACTAGTAATTTAATTCAATTGGCCTACTCTTTATTTGCTAAAGAACAGAATGTCTAATTCCATCGCATGGATATTTTTTTTACACATGACTTAATAACTAGTACAATCTATTGAAACTCCTTTATTAAATATTTCTATGGAACATCGTTAACTTTCAAATACTTGACAGCAAAAAAATCTATTTAGTAGCCAGTAAAAATGTAGAGCAACGGTATTGACAGTTCGAAGTACAGGAAGTTTTATTTTGCTATCCATATTGATTGGTTATTGTTCTACCACAATGCTTACAACTTCACGTTGCAATGCCGCTATAAAAACCTTTGGATGATTCATTACTATAATGCAGAGTTTGGTATTAGATACTAATGATCTCAATCCCTGATGACTTGTTTTTATGCAATTATACGATTTGGGCAAATATTTTCGTCTTACTAATCGCTATTTGGACGAGCAAAGTTTATCAGGAGTCAATTCAGTGGAGTAAAATCACAAGGCTTATTGAGTAAACATTTTCGTTTACTAATGGCTATTTTGGTGAGCAAGAACTAACAGGAATCAATTCAGTAAAGAAGTTAATTTATTGAGAATTCCTAACATTAGAGAAATTTAAAAATCTGCACAATGAAAAGAAAATATTAAGATTGCCTATAGTCCTTTCATATGAATTAAATTTATAAGGTAATGGCAAGACGTGGTATTTCCTTTTAATCTTTCAATTTTTTCCACAATACCGTGAACAATATCGTCATTTATTGTCATTAAAACCTATTTGGCTATTGAAATAACAAAACTGCTAAGGCTATTCTTAAGTGTATATTCCAATTTCTATTCAAAGCATTTAAATCGTCTTTATTCTTACAGCCGTTAACCAATAAAGTAGGATATTGAAACAAAGTCATCTTTAAAATAACTATCTCAAAATAATTAAATTGGAGAATTTAATTTCCTTTTAAGTAACATATAGCTTAATTCGAGTAAATTTATAAAGACTGCTTTTACAAGTACAAATCTTGCATCATTATCACTGAGGTGTTTTTCATAGAATTGAAGTTTGATTGAATTATGTATTCATTGAATTAGAATTGTATTGGTCCGCGACTGGTATAATTGTAAGGCATCACAAAGTAATTGCTATTTCACGATGATATATAACAAGATAGACGCTTAGATACCAATATCCACGTGTGCTTCTATTCTAAAAACAACTGGTCTTAAATTGACTTTGTTTAAGCAGATTTGGGGATAATTTATCACAATCTATCAATTCCTTTACCATACTACGTGCTAATTATATGCCATGAAATGAATTACTACTTCCTAATTCTTAAAATCGATATGTTGTTGAGCCGAAACGAAAGGATAATGAATATATATATATTGCTATAAGAGTTCTAGCTCAGGCAAGTAAACATCATCATCTGCTACGGTACTTACTCTACTAATTGGATATAAACCTTTCATTATTAAGGCAATAGCAGCAATAAGTCAATAGTAAATGAAATTACAGGACTAATTCAGTGTAATAATTATAATTATTTATTATATGCGTAAATGTTGGCGTTATTGGAGGATATCAGATAATCTACCGATATTACGGTTGCTTGCTTTCAGCGATTCGAGTTCCATTAATCAGTAACTAATGTCCTCTTCTTTTTAAGTTATGAAACACAAACAATATTTATAATTTCGATTATTTGTTATCTTCAAGTATCTATCTATCTTTAATTTGCATTCAACTCGTAAACACTCGTTCCTGAACTCATGTTTTATATGACGACTTTAAATATTAATTACCGCAATTCATCACGGAAATACTTCTTCATATAAGGACAATTTTTTGGTATGCATTCATCCTTATGTTCAAGAAGTAATGTGTATCATAATAATATAGATATGCTAGTCTAGCACATTACTTTGCTGCAAACTGTAAAAACTATAAAATTCTAACGTCAAATTTTGATGTAACTTACCAAGTACATTGCCGCAATATTATAGTACATATATAGAGTCAAATCGCTACATTGACTATTAATTATGATAATTCTCCTTACACCAAGTGCCTTACTACGTCTGAAACAGCTAACATAAAAATCTTCCTTAACTTATTATTGACAAATCCGTTCTAATTAAATAGACGGATGAGTCTAATATACTGTAAATGATTAGTTACGCCATGTGTATTGTTAAAGAAAATCAAAGCGAAGCAAATTTATTTCATGCTAGCTAAAGCAACAATACATAATCAACAAGCATAGCAGTATTAATTTGCTGCAACATCTTTCATTATCAAATCTACTAAACATACATTTAAAAAGGAAAATTCGTCATAGCAAAGCAAACAAAGAGGACAAGTCAATATTGTTCTACATTACATACCGGTATATTGTTGTACTTTAAAGATTAAATAGGAAGTTCTAAGTCTGGTCACGTTGCGATGATGAACTACAGATTGCAGATTACAATTACGGGAAAACTACTATATAGAGAGGATTGAAATATTTTGTTTATGTCGTAAAAAGCTTGACAAAAATTAATTAGATGCACTGTAACTTGCAATAGGAAATTTGTAAATCTGATCATGTTGCGACAATAAACGGCGGATATATCAGAAAAAGTTTAACAGAATGCCAAAATATTTTATTTATACTAGAAAGAATTCGAGAGAGAGAAAAAATTCTTTATTGTCGATTTTTATTTAATCCAGCAAGATCTTCCTACAGTTATACTTAACAGAATTGTTACAACGGATATGCAGGCAACAACCAGCCTTTATATGATTATTGCATGAAAATGATGAAAACAATTCTTCACAGATAGAGTCTTTCTGTAACGTTGCATTTATCTTTTGTACAATTTTTTATGAGTCAGTTATAGTGTCGAGAAACTTTTAGTGTACATTCAGCTCGATAACGAATCATATATAGCAATATATACAGTAGACAAACTCTTTATCAATTATCTTATCTTGTCATTAAAGCATACAATCCAGACACAATGTGCAAGTAGTACCTTATCCTAACAAATTTTTAATACAAATATCTATTATGGCATTGATTGCTAGTCCTTATTCTATTTCTTAATCATTAAGAAAGATTTAAGCACGAAAGAAAGACTTTTGTGATCAAGAGCTTATGTTTGCTTAGTCTATTTTTTACATGTTTACATTTTATATCACGGATTGTGCAAGTTTTCTATCATTTGATGATGAATCTTCCATTATTATATATATGACGCTAGAACGGAAGATTTTTGTTAGTAATACTGCCATAAGAATAATTTTGCATTCCTATTCTATTTTGAATTAGCAGATTGAAAACTCCATTTTTCACTAATAACCGAGCGGATACAGTAAAATAGCTCGGAGTAAATTCGTATCTGTTAACGCCATGAAACCAAGTTGGTACCAGTACATAGCAATAGTATGTCTCTAAAGTTAAAATTGAAACCTATATTAACTCAATGTAAGCGATAAAGAGCATAATAACTTGAAGCTCTGTTGACCCATTTGCCGACATAGTATGTCTCTAAAGTTAAAATTGAAAACCTTACTAACTCAATATAAGCGATAAAGTACAGGATAACCTGAAGATATGCTGACCCATATTACATATGTTGATTGACTTCAACAGATACATGATTAGCGCGCTGTTCATTTAATCAAAACAAGGTGTCATTTTTTTATCATAGTAATGTCATTCTCCTTGAACTCACTATGATACTTTAAGGAAAAATACTGATTTGAGTTAAATTTGAAATGTTTATTCGTTTTCATAACCGAATGGTTTCGATCATGTTCATGGTTACTAGAGGATTGTGCACTAGTAAGTTTAATATCGAATTGTACCAGTACCGAAATGATCATGTTCATATTATGGATCCATGACGAAATGCTTTCGCTTTCGGATATCTTGTAAAATTTATTAGTTGATTTTTTAACCGTGTAGTAGGATTTATTCATGAGCATTTTTAGAGTTGTTGAGTTTAATCGATAGCTAGGCGTAAGGGCGATATTTCTTTTCCTGAATAAGATATTCGAAATAATAGAGGTTTGCATTTAGTTTTCAGATATCTTGTAGGATTTATTGGTTGATTTTTCGAGCATGTGGCAGGATTTGTTCATAAATATTATTTAGTGTTGTTGAGTTTAACAGATAGCTAGTCGTAAGGCCGATGTTTTCGTTCCTGAAATAGGTATTCGCACTAATGGGCGTTTGCACATTTCAATAATTTCACTACGGATATCACGGCTAAGCCAGATATATAATAGAGGATTTAAAGCAGGATACGCAAAAGCTAATTCTCGTAGGCCATACTCGGATGCTCTTAAACAATTTACAATTAATCTGATGAACCGTAGTCTTAGCTTTAGTGGTGATGATCCCAAAATGAGGGCTATCATGGAACAAATGATGTACGGCAAAGTCAATAATATAAAAGTACCGGTGATAATAATTAATGGTACAGCGGCTTTAAATTGCTTGGTTATAAGTTGACTTTTTCTTCGTTGAACAGGATCAAATGAAGGATACTGTTCGTTATTCATCTGTTTTAAATGGCGTAGAGCAATAATAAAGATATAACCATGACAAATGAGCATGATCTTCAACGGACATAAATAGCAAAACGAATAAAAGAAAATGTTGTAAATTAATTCGTCGCCAGCGTCGCCACTGGTAGTGCAAGGATTTTTATCATCTCTTTTAACAGTGCGAAATGTTAAAACAGGATAAAATGATCCAATTAGGGCCATCACCCACACTAGCGTTAGATAAATCCAAGTAGTCCGACGATTAACGAAGTTACTAAAATGAAAGGGCATGCCTACTGTGATTGCCCTATCGATCGCGATTAAAGCTAAATGCAAGCACATACACGACATTAGAAAATTACGTAAAGAAGTCTTGAGATAGCATAAAATATTTGTTGGATCCATTACGACAAGCGGATAAGGAAGGCAAAAGAGTATTGCAAATAAAATGCCACTCATTGACATACTGCATAATTTAACGTTTTGAATTTTCCATAACCTTTTCCGTGTTAATATTAGATAAACTAGGAAACCATTAGTTAATAGGGCTGTAAAACCAATTATTTCATAGTAGATAATTTGAGGTAATTCTCTCATCACATTATCGCTGTTGGTCGTATTGCTAAGGCTAAGCAACGATCCAGTCGAACGATTGTCCACTTCAGAGTGATTCTCCATCATCTTGGGCCAGTTTCAACGCGAGAAATTGCAATAGTCGGTGAAGCTGATATTGATAAGATATAAATAAGGATAATTGTACAGAAAATATCCACCACTACCTATTCTACAGTATCTACTACTAAATATAGATCGATGGAATGGAGATCAAGAAGACAATAGCAAGTACGTTGGAGATAAATAAATTAATTGTAATTATTGAACATTCAATTAATATTTGTCAAAACACGTTCACGTTAATTTCTCTTTCCTCGTTGAAATAATGAATATAGTAAGATTATTCATGATTTACTATTTCTAACGTCTACTTGAACAATACACGGTGATGCTTTTAATGGTGATGAGCATTAATTTATTCAAGATTAGAAAATTGATAAAATACTGCTTTGATTCTATCTCCTAAGGTGCGCAATAGGTTGAAAATGACGAAGTCTCTACACATGAAAATGCTGTCATTAATTAATTTTGAAAATTGATTTTTATTGACTAGACTATTGTCTTTGCTTACTTAAAGTTTTCAATCTTAAATTAGAATTAGAAATGGCGGTAATGGAAGTAGTTTAGATATTATGGTGAGAAAGTCTTTTCCAAGTCAACACAGTAACGTAGCAGTAGTCCTTGACCATACGGTATTATTATTAATCAATAATTGAATTAAACCAAAATGCGTTTGTAAAATTAATGGATTCAATTTTTTTCGTTTATGAATCCTGTTCTATAGGATATGCAAAGTTATTACAACACTCGTATACACTATACATAGAAAGGAAAAATAGAAATCTCTGATTTTGTTGATGTCTGAAATCGCAACATTGCCAATTTATCATGCTTTTATCGTTCAATGGCCAGTTAGCAACGGAACATTTTCATAATTCTATGAATAGGATTAAGTTATTTCCTGTATACTCTTTCGAAATAGTGTTCTACCATTGGTTGAAAAATGTACGGACATTTCAATATCCTGTTATTTTAACATGGGCTCAAAATTAATTCCGATGGCTTTCAAATTTCTATCGTACATTCTAAGTACTAGCGACGACGCCTTAAAATACAATCATTTATACTTTCATCCTGTCGGTTGTGATATACAATAGAGATCATTTCTAAGCGCTGATCTAATTGCTTTGGCAACATTATGCTACCAAACAGAAAGTATCCGTTATCTTGACGAATATCATCGTTAATGAGATTTATTGCTGTATGATTTCTACTTCTTGAGCTATACATTTTTTTAAAATAAATATAGCTCATGGCTTACAAATCCATATCCTCCATCTATTAAAATAAAGTACTCCAGTGCCACTTTTCCCTTTAATATTGATCATTTAATGTGTTGTCATTAATTCAAGTGCTTCATTCCATAATGATAGCCAACGCAATGTATCCGTTGACTTAACTATTATCATCGTTGATACCATTTATTAATGTACGATTCTACATCTTGAGCTATAATCTTTATTTCAAAACAGATATAGTTTATGGCTCTCAGTTGATTATTATACTAATCCAATCCATGTCGTCCATATACATAAATACAATTCACTGCTCATCTTCGCTTATTAATTATTGACTGCGGTATTAACTTGACTAATATCATCGTTAATAAGATTTATTACTTTACGATTCTACTTCTCGAGCTATATAATCTTTATTTTAAAATCAAATATAGTTTATGGCTTTTTATACTAATCAAATCTATACGCCAAAAAATATAGTACTGTTTCACTATTCCCTTTAATAAATATTGATTTCGGTATTAACTCGACTAATATCATTGTTAATAAGATTTATTCCTGTATGATTCTACTTCTTGAGCTATAAATTTTATTTCAAAAGCCTAACAGAGTTTATGGCTTTTTATACTAATCAAATCCATACACCTAAAAATACAGTACAGTTTAACTTTTCCCTTTACTAAACATCGACTACGGTATTAGCTTGACCAATATCATCGTTAGTATGATTCTGCTTCTTGAACTATAATCTTTATTTATAGTTAAAGAGTCAATATAGTTTATGGCTTTTAGCTGCTTTCTATACTATTCAAATTTATATCATCTATGGGCAAAAAAATATCGTGCAGTGCAAACTTTTTCCCTTATAAACTATTAGTAGACCCTTCGCTCGTTACACTGCGCGTAGTGTATTAACTTGACTACTATCATCATGAATAAGATTTATTTCTGTATTATTCTACTTTTTGAGCTATAATCTTTATTTTAAAAAAATATAGTTTCTGGCTTTTTATACTATTTAAATTCATATCGTCCATTGATAAACGCAGTAAGTGCTGTCGTTCCATGATGCTACTAAACGGAATGCATGCGTTTTTAAGTTGAATATCATCGTTAATAAGATTTATTACTGTACTGTATAATTCTAGTTGTTGCGCCACTAGCCTTATTTAAAAGAAATCGAGAATATTATTGCATTTCGCTGCTTTTTATGCTATTGAAGTCTATTTTCGAGTATAGGTAAAATGTACGACTCCTATAGTACAGTGCAACGTTTTTCTTTATTATAATTATTGGTTATTTAATACGTTGTGAACTTTATTTTAGAATACTGTAAGTCAGAATATATGAGATACCGACTTCATTTACAAGAGTTTATGGCTTTTATAGTAGTTGCTTATCATGCAGTTCAAGTTGATATCATCCATCTACAAAATCCAGTAAAGTGCAACATTATCCTTAAACGGAATGGGATGCATCCGTTTTTAACTTGAACAATATCATCGTTAACAAGATTTATGAGTGTACTGTATGATTCTAGTTGTTGCGCCATGAACCTTATTTTTAGAAGAAATAAGAGTATATTATAGCATTTCGCTGCTTTTTATGCTGTTGAAGTCTATTTTCGTGCTTAGGCAAAATGTCTAGAATAGCGCAATGTTTTTCTTCATTACATCTATTGATCATTTAATTCGTTGTGAACTTCATTTTAGAATACCGTAAGTCAGGATACACAAGATATCGACTTCATTTACAAGAGTTTATGGCTTGTACAGTAGTTGTTTCATCATGCTGTTCAAGTTGATATCATCCATCTACAAAATCCAGTAAGGTGCAATTTTATCCTACGGAATGCATCCGTTTTTAACTTGAACAATATCATCGTTAACAAGATTTATGACTGTACTGTCTGATTCTAGTTGTTGCACCATTAACCTTATTTTTAGAAGAAATAAGAGTATATTATAGTATTTCGCAGCTTTTTTATGCTGTTGAAGTCTATTTTCGTACTTAGGCAAAATGTATAGTGTAACGTTTTTCTTTATTACAACTATTGATCATTTAATGCGTTGTGAACTTCATTTTAGAATACCGTAAGTCAGGATACACGAGATATCGACTCCATTTACAAAAATTGATGGCTTTTACAGTAGTTGCTTTATCATGTTGTTTACGTTGATATCATCTATCTACAAAATTGAGTAAAAGTGCAATTTTATCCTTATTATTATCGATCGTTCAATCTGTGGCAAATCTTACCTGTTTCATAGGAAGTCAAGATATCCTAACTTGCTGAGCGCTAACTGGCAGTAACTTATTCTCTCTATATGGCAGATGTCTAATCCAGGTATCTACTAAACTGCGGTGTGTAAATGTCTACTATTAACTACGAATGCATTTGCATTTTCTTGATGGTGTCTTGCGCACTTTCCTTCTTACAGTGAATCATCTAGACGTCCAATAAGGTACTATTAGCCTATTGAACGCCCTTATGTTATGTTATCATCAACACAGCAGCAATCCTCCCAACAAGGGGAATCTGGGAAATTAAAGTTGATTTTATTTCCTTACTGATTGAAAGAATTGGATGAAACAAAATTAAACAGGAAAATGTCGACGTACATTGAATGGTATAGGTACGATTGCTATCAACAGAATAGCGTTTGCGGTTATTAAAATTGACAGTAATTGGATTGTACATGGGTTGGATGAATAACAATAAGATTGCAAACTTTGAATCATTTGCTCAACACATGCGATCTAAATCGTCCTTTAATGTGAGCAATTGATTTCCATCTAACCCAAGTCATACTGTATTACGAAGAATAAGTGGAAGCCAATATCCGCCATTGACAGTGACGATAACTGGCATTTTTGCTACTTTTGCTACATTAATAATAAAAGTTTCAATTGGCTAGCGCTAGATTGCTTACTATAGGGTATTGTTATATAAATTACTATGTTCCTTAATTGATTCTTTTGGATTTTCTATTAATTCGGTAATGGATTGCCTTACGAAATAGATACCATTTACAATACCATCAGACTAGCAAGAATTATATACCATATGATTGTAGCTGTATAATAAGCGTTTAGGACATTGGAAATTGGTAAAGAGCTGCATACCTTCCAGTTTGGAAATGATACAACTGTCTCTCAATATCACCTAACAAAGAACTTGCTCCAATACGGAATAGATTGGGTTGTGTCCATTCGTCTCCTAGCTCTTCCTTCATCAGAGCAAGCCAACTTAAGCAATCTTTAGCGCTTCTAATCCCTCCGGCTGGCTTAAATCCGACCTTGTATCCAGTACGTTGGTAAAAATCACGTATTGCCCTGATCATGACAAGAGCAACTGGGAATGTGGCATTCACTGCTTCTTTGCCTGTCGATGTTTTAATAAAAGTTGAGCCAGCCATCATACTGACAAGGCTTGCTTTATACACATTGGTCAACGTTCCTAAGTGTCCCGTAGCAATAATCGTTTTTAACAGGGCATTACCACACGCTTTTTTGCAGGCAGCTACTTCATCATATAAAGCTTGCCAATTGCCTGATAATACATAGCATCGAGTGATGACAATATCGATTTCACTTGCACCAGCTTCGACTGCGTATTTGATTTCATCTAGGCGTTGAGGAAGAGGTGTTTGACCATCAGGAAATCCAGCTGCTACAGAAGCAATGGGCACTTGTGAGTGATTATTCTTATTAGCGGTAACAGCATCCTTGACTCGAGACGAGTAGACACATACCGCTCCGGTAGTAATTTCTGAAAAGTAGAACATAGTTTTGAGTTTCATTAATTCATTTTGATCAACACAAGTTATATGCTAATGATCAAATATGCATGATAAACATTCATGATGAAATTGGCAGCATGTTGATGTAAAAAATGCAATTCTTCAAGTCGCTATGATAGCAAAATTTCTTAGTTACAACACAATTCGTCAAATGATAGCCAGCATTAACAAACAACCAATTACAGTGCCGAAGGGAATGAGTAGAAAGAGTCTAAAAATGCAAATCTTGAAATAATAAGAGTTAAGGCAAGCATTACCAAGTTGATTGAACCGAGTGGCACTTTTCAAATGATTGTAAAACAATAAAACTACTGAAGGAGATGCTGTAAGTAGAATGAGTCTAAAAAAGTAATTGATGAAATGATGATAGTTCAGGCAAGGATTGCAAAGTTGAATCGATCGCCACTCTTCAATCATTTAACAGCAAAACAAACGAAGAAAATGAGTCGAGTGAGTTTCAAAATGCAATTCTTGAAACGATGCGAGTAAAGTAAAGAATGGCAAAGTTGAACCGATCGCTACTCTTCTTTCAACTACGCCATAATAAGCTAGCGAAGAAAATGAGCGATTTTCAAAATTCACTGGTTGAAATGATGAGAGCAAGGCAAGCATTGCAAAGTTGGCAAGCTACCGAAGAAAACGAGCGATTTTCAAAATGCAATAGCTAAAATGATGAGAGCAAGGCAAGCATTGCAAAGTGGGCAAACTACCGAAGAAAACGAGTGATTTTCAAAATGCAATGGTTGAAATGATGAGAGCAAGGCTTGCATTGCAAAGTTGGCAAACTACCGAAGAAAACGAGCGATTTTCAAAATGCAATAGCTAAAATGATGAGAGCAAGGCAAGCATTGCAAAGTGGGCAAACTACCGAAGAAAACGAGCGATTTTCAAAATGCAATGGTTGAAATGATGAGAGCAAGGCTTGCATTGCAAAGTTGGCAAACTACCGAAGAAAATGAGCGATTTTCAAAATGCAATAGCTAAAATGATGAGAGCAAGGCAAGCATTGCAAAGTGGGCAAACCACCGAAGAAAACGAGCGATTTTCAAAATGCAATAGCTGAAATGATGAGAGCAAGGCAAAGTTCACTGGCATCCTATCAAGGACTGCAATGTTGAACCCATCGCCACTCTTCAACTGCGCGATGTTTGAAATGATGAAAATAAGGGAAGAATAACAGAGATTTCGAATCTATTTATCCGATAGAAATCTTACTCAAGTCTTTTAATTGGAGGCTTTCAAGAACGTCTTGACGGATAGGATTATTGGCCTTGAAACAGAGACGTGATACATTCGTTTCCGTATCATCACCAGACAAGGTGGTTAAATCTAAGCAAGTAACAGCTCTTAAAAACCAAGCTGCTTGCCAATCTTTCTTGACAGATCGTCGCTTGAGATGGGTTGCTGCTCTCCTCTGCACTGCTGGTAAGTTAACACGCGACGATTCAACCCATGCCAGATCCAGAGGTTGGATTACATTCCGTTGGCTGTCTACCATCGTTCAATTTGGTTATTGTAGCTAGAAATTCATTCAAATCCAATCGATCAAGATTGCCTAAAGCAAGGAATAGCAGCAATGGCGGACAGCAAATGGGCTCCAACGGGTTCCAGTACGGTACCAGTGGACTGAAGAG